CGCGAAGTGGTAGGCCACACAAGCTCACAGAACGGAACCGCCCAGTGCTGAAGCGCGTAGCGCGAAAAAACTGTCTGTCCTTGTCACGGATTCTGCCGAGGCTGCTCCTCCTAGTTCGGGCAGGCTTCGGCGTTCGTCGTCCCCGGAGTACTAGCTGCCACCGTTGAATGTTTCTATGTGTGATTGCTTTTGTCTGTCTGTCACACCTGTGTCCGTTTGTGTCTGATTACGTGTTCTATAAGTTGCCTGTGTTGTATTGGTTAGGTTGTGTGTTGTTTTTCGCCTGTCCGTAGTGCTGCGTGTTTTTCTCTGTTTTGTTGTTTTACGCATAGTTGCGTAATTGCTCGCCTCTGTCGTTTTGAGGCCGTTCTTTGTATCTTTGCCTTGTGGTTCACAAGTAAACTTTGTTGGACTAAGCTTCGGTGTCCTGCGCCTGACTCCCACACCACATACACCTCAGCCTTGACAGTCCTCGGTTGCAACACTCACTATCAAGTTCCAAACTGCCTCTGGAAGCAACGTCAGCACAATAACTTTTCGTCGGCAGCTTCATGAAATGGGTTTCCATTGCTGGATTGGTGTAAAGCTTGCCACCATTGGAATCTGGAGCAGCGGAAAGGCATTTTCTAGAGTGAAGAATCATGCGTCACCAGTCTGATCGACGAGTATTGGTTTGGCAGATTCCAGGGAAACGCTACCTGCCCCAATGCATAGTGACAAATGTAAAGTTTGGTGGAGGAGGAATAATGGTCTGGGGCTGTTTGTCATGGTTTGGATTAGGCCCCTTACTTCCAGAGAAGGGAACTCTTAATGCTAAAGCATACAATGAAATTCTAGACAATTCTGTGCTTCCAACTTTGTGGCAACAGTTTGGGGAAGGCCCGTTCCTGTTTCAGCATTACAATGCCCCTCTGCACAAAGTGAGGTGCATAGAGAAATTGTTACTCTACATAGGCATGGAAGAACTTGACTGGCCTGCAAACAGCCCTGACCTCAACCCCATCTAACTCCTTTGGGATGAATTGGATAGCCGACTGCGAGCCAGGCCTAATCGCCCAGCATCAGTGCCCGACCTCACTAATGCTCTTGTCGCTGAATGAAAGCAAGTCCCCGAAGCGATTTTAGATTTTAAAAGCAGAGAAGTAGATTAAGATTTCATAGGTTTTAAATGTTTGTCTAAGTTGTTGTGAAAGTGGTCAAAATGTCAGTTGTTTGTAAAAGTTCACACGAAAAGTAGTTGATGCGGTTAATAAAACAGATGTCACTTTTGATTGGCAGAAGACCATTCTGTTCTAATTTCAGATTTGAATAGCAGAGAAATAGACCAAGATGTCATACCTTCTAAGTTATTGGCTAACTTGTCGGTAAAGTGGTCAACATGTATTTTGTTGGCAAAAGTTGACAGAAAATGTAGTTGATGCGATTACAAAAACAGCTCTGTCGTTGAACGGTAGAAGATAATTCTGTTCTGATTTCAGATTTCAGATTTGAATAGCAGAGAAGGAGACGGAGATGTCATATGCTCTACGTTTTTGTCTAACTTGATGGAGAAGTTGTCAAAATGTAAGTTGTTTGTAAAAGCTGAGAGGAAATGTAGTTGATGCAGTTACTAAAACAGCTGTGTTGATTCATCGGTTGAAGGTAATTCTGTTCTGATTTCAGATTTGAATAGCAGAGAAGCAAACTTAGATTTCGTATGCTGTCTAAGTTGTCTAAGTTGTTGGGAAAGTGGTCAAAGTAGCTGATTTACATCAAAAGTTACATTGTTTAGAGTGAATAGAATAGAATTTTTGAAGTCATGATGTCACAATGGGCCCTTTAGAATGTTGAGGAAATCCCATTAAAGTGGCTGGAGGACAATAAGAAGGACAAAAAGTTTCAAAAGTATAACATACAATATATATATATATATATATATAGTAAGGGGACCCGTTCTTCCTGTCTCCCAACAGGAGTGTGTGAATGGTACTTTGAGTTAGGAAGGACGCCTGTATCTTTGTAGTGACTGGGTTTATTCATACACCATCCAAAGTGTAACTCATAACTTCACTATGCTCAAAGGAATATTCATTGTCTGCTTCGTTTATTTTAACCCATCTACCAATAGGTGCCCTTCTTTGCGAGGCATTGGAAACCTCCCTGGTCTTTGTGGTTGAATCTGTGTTTGGAATTCATTGCTCGACTGAGCGACCTTACAGATAATTGCATGTGTGGGCTACAGAGATGAGGTAGTCATTCAAAAATCATGTTAAACACTATTATTACACACATAGTCCATGCAACTTAGTTTAGGCTTGCCATAACAAAGGGGTTGAATACTTATTGACTCAAGACATTTCAGCTTTTCATTTTTAATTCATTTGTAAACATTTAGAAAAACATAATTCCACTTTGACATTATGGGGTATTGTATGTAGGTCAGTGACAACAAGATCTAAATTTAGACCACTTAAAATTCGGTCTGTAACACAACAAAATGTGGAAAAAGTCAAGGGGTGTGAATACTTCCTGAAGGCACTGTTCGCGTCAGAATGATCGTTCACACACAATCCTCAAAGTATGACTGTATTTATTGGGACCTCCTGATACTCTGTAATACACTGCTATAATAGTATAGCTAGTGCCTTGACAGTTTTTCTTGGTCATGTGACCTGATCAGGAAAAACTCTGGGCCCTGTGTATAACCTTGTAGCCTTGGTGCTCTTTAAATTAGATGTTGGATTCTAATGGTGATGCACTGTACATTATTGTGTGTGTGTGTGTGTGTGTTAGGGCTTGGCGATATGGCCTAAAAATCATCTTTAAAAAAAAAAGTATTATTATTATTATTATGTGCGGTTCACGATATACACTGAGGACACCCGCTCTTTCCATGAAATAGACTGACCAGGTGAATCCAGGTGAAAGCTATGATCCCTTATTGATGTCACTTGTTAAATACATTTCAATCAGTGTAGATAAAGGGGAGGAGACAGGTTAAAGAAAGATGTTAAAGCCTTGAGACAATTGAGACATAGATTTTGTATGTTGTCATTCAGAGGGTGAATGGGCAAGACAAAAGATTGAGTGCCTTTGAACAAGGTATGGTAGTAGGTGCCAGGCGCACCGGTTTAAGAACTGCAACGCTGCTGTGTTTTTCATGTTCAACAGTTTCCTGTGTGTCTCAAGGATGGTCCACCACCCAAAGGACATCCAGCCAACTTGACACAACTGTGGGAAGCATTGGAGTCAACATGGGCCAGCATCCCTGTGGATCGCTTTCGACACCTTGTAGAGAGTCCATGCCCCGATGAATTGATGCTGTCCTGAGGGTGGTGCTACTCAATATTAGGAAGGTGTTCTTAATGTTTTTTACACTCAGTGTAGTTTAACCTGCTTTTTTCCAATAATCACTGTCCTGGCTTGTCTGTCTATGAAAATGCCCTTTTGGTTACATATCTGGGTGCAGTTTGAGGAGTTGAAAGGTTAACTTCTCCTCTATTACAGTAAAATAATGTCTCAATGCGTTTTCGGTGTCCATATGACCGGTTCTGTTGGACCAAACCTAAAATGCAAATAGCGAGTTGAAACTGCTTGTTGTCAGATAGGAGGAAGTGATCTCTAGTCTTTGTTGTTGTGAGTGGGAGGGGCTTGGTGCACAGTGCACACAGCACTGAAGGAGACAAGACCATAAAGCAGTGCAGTTTGAGGAGTTGAAAGGTTAGCTTCTCTATTACAGTAAAATCAATCAATCAATCAATTTTATTTTATATAGCCCTTCTTACATCAGCTAATATCTCGAAGTGCTGTACAGAAACCCAGCCTAAAACCCCAAACAGCTAGTAATGCAGGTGTAGAAGCACGGTGGCTAGGAAAAACTCCCTAGAAAGGCCAAAACCTAGGAAGAAACCTAGAGAGGAACCAGGCTATGAGGGGTGGCCAGTCCTCTTCTGGCTGTGCCGGGTGGAGATTATAACAGAACCATGCCAAGATGTTCAAAAATGTTCATAAGTGACAAGCATGGTCAAATAATAATCAGGAATAAATCTCAGTTGGCTTTTCATAGCCGATCATTAAGAGTTGAAAACAGCAGGTCTGGGACAGGTAGGGGTTCCATAACCGCAGGCAGAACAGTTGAAACTGGAATAGCAGCAAGGCCAGGCGGACTGGGGACAGCAAGGAGTCACCACGGCCGGTAGTCCCGACGTATGGTCCTAGGGCTCAGGTCTCTCAGTTGGCTTTTCATAGCCGATCATTAAGAGTTGAAAACAGCAGGTCTGGGACAGGTAGGGGTTTCGTAACCGCAGGCAGAACAGTTGAAACTGGAATAGCAGCAAGGCCAGGCGGACTGGGGACAGCAAGGTGTCATCATGCCCGGTAGTCCTGACGTATGGTCCTAGGGCTCAGGTTCTCAGAGAGAAAGAGAGAACGAGAGAATTAGAGAGAGCATACTTAAATTCACACAGGACACTGGATAAGACAGGAGAAGTACTCCAGGTATAACCAACTAACCCCAGCCCCCCGACACATAAACTACTGCAGCATAAATACTGGAGGCTGAGACAGGAGCGGTCCGGAGACACTGTGGCCCCATCCGAAGAAACCCCCGGACAGGGCCAAACAGGAAGGATATAACCCCACCCACTCTGCCAAAGCACAGCCAAACTGGAGATGCCAAACTGGAGATGTAGTTTTTTTTTTTACCTCGATTCTTGCCATACAGGCATTTGGAACATCGCACTAAAACATACCTTTAAATGAGTTTGATATATCGCCCATCCCTAGTGTGTGTGTGTGTGTGTGTGTGTACCTGTGTGTGTGTGCGTGTGTGCGTGCGTGCGTCCACTGTCCATGTGCTGCTTAATGTAGCTGGTTATATCAAGCGCTTAGGATTGGCTTGTGGGCTGGTTGCTCTCCAGGTTTGTTGCTCTTTCTCTATGACCCCATCCACCCCATCTCGCTCTCTCTGTGGTCGGCGTGTCCCTGGAGCCTCTCTCTCTTTCTCCTCTCTCCGTATCTTGTCACTCCCTCCCTCTCCCCATCCTTCCATCAGCCCCCCTGTCCTCTCGCCATCTCTGTCTGTGTTTGACGTGTCCCTGTTGAGTGTCTACTCTACTCTGTGTTGCAGGCGGTAGCTCCAGTAGCTCAGACTGCTCTGTAGCAGCACAGACCACTGAGGAGAAACCCAAGGCTCAGACTAGTGAGTGGGAGCAGCTTGCTGTCTGCACTACCAACCCTACCACCCCTACCACCAAATGCTAGTTAATATGGTCCAGGGACCGTATTCACAAAGCATCTCAGAGTTGGGAGTGCGGATTATAGGATCTGTTTTGCCTTTTAGGCCTATCATAATGATGTTATGGACAAGGGGACCTGATCCTAGGTCAGCACTCTTACTCTAAGAAGTTTGATAGGCCCAAGCCTACATACTGGCTCTGATCTGTAGGTGCTTTGGCTAACTCCTCAGAATATTGTTGACAGGTGTTGTCTAAAGCGTGTATACCTCAGGACCAGGCTAACCAACCATCCCCTCCTAATGTTAACCTGCCCTGCCTGCCTGCCCTGCCTGCCTGCCAGTCCTATAGATATAAGGTACACAGTCTCCCCCTGCCAGTCCTATAGATATAAGGTACACAGTCTCCCCCTGCCAGTCCTATAGATATAAGGTACACAGTCTCCCCCTGCCAGTCCTATAGATATAAGGTACACAGCCTTCCCCTGCCAGTCCTATAGATATAAGGTACACAGTCTCCCCCTGCCAGTCATGTAGATATAAGGTACACAGTCAAAATGCCCCTATAAACAGCAATACAAACTGCTTTCTACAATCTTCATTGTGGGGGATAGAGTTGAACCCAAGAAGGATGATGTCTCAGCGTACTGGGGGGACAGAGTTTAACCCAAGAAGGAGAATGTCTCAGCGTACTGGGGGGATAGAGTTGAACCCAAGAAGGAGAATGTCTCAGCGTACTGGGGGGATAGAGTTTGTAGTGGCTTCCTTTCCTCTTTACCATAGCCACTGCCCTAGCCTGAAGCGGGGTTGTTTCGGACGCATACAGTCCACACTCAACGTTTCCAAACGGCCAAACATTCAATGAGATCCAGGGATATAGTGCAACAGAAAATGTTTATTCTTCTTATCTAACAAAAAGGTATTCTCCAATCAACTTAAAGCAGAGATTACTTGAAATGCAAATACATAATATAATATGACCTGTCTGTCTGTATGTCTATATGGTCAAAAAACTATACCGCTCCCGCATCTAGCAAGGACTCCTCCCCCCGAAGGCCCAACTTCCTGCCTTTATACTAACACAGTACAATGAATGGGCAAGAGGGGGGGCCAAAAACTGAGTTACACTAATAACAAATGAATATATCTCAATCCGGTAAATAAATCATAAAGGTACGTACCTAATATTTCATCATATACATTAATATTTAATATATTTACACAAATGTACATGGAGCTCCGTATGTTCAGTCTTTTATACAAAATATGCCCAAATCGGCTCTAACAGAGTTGAACCCAAGAAGGAGAATGTCTCAGCGTACTGGGGGGATAGAGTTGAACCCAAGAAGGATGATGTCTCAGTTGACTGGGGGGATAGGGTTGAACCCAAGAAGGATGATGTCTCAGCTGACTGGGGGGATAGGGTTGAACCCAAGAAAGATGATGTCTCAGCTGACTGGGGGGATAGGGTTGAACCCAAGAAGGATGATGTCTCAGCTGACTGGGGGGATAGGGTTGAACCCAAGAAGGAGAATGTCTCAGCGTACTGGGGGGATAGAGTTGAACCCAAGAAGGATGATGTCTCAGCTGACTGGGGGGATAGGGTTGAACCCAAGAAGGATGATGTCTCAGTTGACTGGGGGGATAGAGTTGAACCCAAGAAGGATGATGTCTCAGTTGTGAAGGGAATTCCTAAACTATACTGAACGAAAATGTATATGCAACATGTAAAGTGTTGGTCCCATGTTTCATGAGCTGCGATGGAATATCCCATAAATACACACAAAAAAGCTTATTTCTCTCAAATCTTGTGCACAAATTTGTTTATATCCCTGTAAGTGTGCATTTAACCTTTGCTAAAATAATCCATCCACCTGACAGGTGTGGCATATCAAGAAGCAGATTAAACAGCATGATCATTACACAGGTGCACCTTTTGCTGGGGACAATAAAAGGCCACTCTAAAATGATTCAGAAATGCCACAGAAGTCTCAAGTTTTGTCTCAAGTTTTGAGGGAGCGTGCAATTGGCATGCTGACTGCAGGAATGTCCACCAGAGAATTGAATGTTAATTTCTCTACCATAAGCCTCCTCCAACGTCGTTTTAGAGAATTTGGCTGTACGTCCAACTGGCCACTTAACCGCAGACCACGTGTATGGTGCCGTGTGGGCGAGTGGTTTGCTGATATCAATGTTGTGAACAGAGTGCCCCATGGTGACGGTGGGATTATGGTATGGGCAGGCATAAACTACGGACAACGAACACAATTGCATTTTATCAATGGCAATTTCAATGCACAGAGATACCATGACAAGATCCTGAGGCCCATTGTCGTGCCATTCATCCGCCGCCATCACCACATGTTTCAGCATAATAATGCATGGCCCAATGTAGCAAGGATCTGTACAATGGCCGGCAGGGATGTAGCTCAGTTGATAGAGAATGGCGTTTGCAACGCCAGGGTTGTGGGTTCGATTCCCACGGGGGGCCAGTATAAAAAATAAAAATAAAAAATAAATGTATTCACTAAACTGTAAGTCGCTCTGGAAAAGAGCGTCTGCTAAATGACTAAAATGTAAATGTAAATATATATATAAAGGTTGTATACAAGCACACTATTCCAGACTGATCTGTACGTTTTAAAGTTTGAATGGCATTTCTAGCTTGAACAGTGTACGAAAAATAGTATTCCAAAGAATTATAATAAGTCAGAAGTATGACAAAGATTTAGAGTGGGACGATTTAGAGTGGAGGTCACTAGGGTTTCAAACCCCTTACATGTGGTTGCCTCTGTTTGACTGGTGGAGGCCTTTATCACAGTTGTGGGTGCCACTGCTGTAGGCTCAATTCACAAGGTGTTACCAACGGCAATCACCCACTCTGATATCTTTGTCCCGTTGGAAGTGTAGTTAACATGCATAAGCCCTCCAAAATAAACAGGAATCATATATGTATCTGAATTTAATACTGGCAAGTGGGTAGTGCTTTCTAAACAGGTCCATTGATAAAGATTGACCATCATTATAATCATCATCATTATGTTTAACAAATGTAATTAAACAGTAGCTTACCCTCACAGGGGGAGATGATTTTGCTCACAGTAACACTGCTGATGTGGTTTTTGACAGTGCAGGTGAGATCTCCTGACAGGCCTCTCTTCAGTGTCATGGTGTTTGTCTGGTCACCAGGAGAGGCCTCAGTGTCTCTCAGTGGGTGTTCGTCCAGAGTCTATCTGTACTGAGGACCGTCCCCCTCAGAGGAGCAGGTCACCCTCATCTCTCCATGGGTCAGACACTGAGAGGACAGCTGAAGAGAGGACACTGGGGCTGAGGAGGAAGAAGAATAGACATTGTCGTATCGAGTGAGTGGTGGCAATTATTGCTGATGAACAAAGGAGTCCGCTCATACTGAACGTTGATCATAAGGTTTATTCAGATCACAAGCTTCAGCATAAGTGACAGGTGACATGACACCCGGAGAACGGCGCCTCAGATTGGAATGGCCGTTCTGCCCTTTCTGTAGTCTAGCCCCTATTTATAAACAATGCAAAAAGATGGGTGGCTCCCTCTTCTGGCCAATCACCAGTCTCCCCTGGGACGTCACCCTCCAAACGGCTACATTTGACCTAACATAAACAACATTCCATTTCTTCAAGAAAAACATTTAACAAAGGCATAATCCCAATACACGACAACATCTGTAGACATTTGCAGACATTCACAACAACACATTAGAAAACAACACTTCTTCTAGAATTAGAAGGCCACAGAGGCTTCTGTAGTCAAGTTATGGTTAGTAATAAGGATTTGTCAAGATGAGAATTTTAAAGGGTTAGCTAATTACTATACCTTCAATAAACAGTTGTAGTCTTCTTGTCCCTAATGTTTCCCCATCTGAATTAAATGTTTCTAGTCTATATTCAGTAGAATCACTTCTTTCTGTGTTATCTATCCTAAATGTTCCGTTGTTGAAAAAGAAGTGTGCTCTGGTTTCAATGGATTTGTGGATTTTCACATTTTTTCATTTTGTTTGTAATTTGGAGTATAATTTTTGCAGCATCAGTGGAGTTGGTTTTTAATAATATGTCAGGGACTTTACTGTCAATGATCATCAGCTGTAGAGAGACAGTTCCTCCCAGAGCTCCATAACACTGAGCTCCATCCAGTGTAGCATCACATGGGGTCTCCATTCCTGAAAATCAAGAGGAATATAGATACTGTAGTGACTATCACTGTCCTAGTTTTGAGGTATAATTGTATGGATGAGAATACAAGCAAGCAGCAGTATAACCAAACCAAACCAATGACATCAGGATATTAGGCAACATAACAGTACCTCAGGCAGTTATAATTATCACAAGACTATGAATAACGAGACAACTGTCTTTTTCAGTCATTTGAATATTGTCGCTGTATCTATCATTAGTCATTATGAGAGGTATTAATTTGACAAAAGTGATTCTGGGTAGCCTATAGTATACCACAAAGAGCTTTGATCAGGTGGTTCACTTTCTATCTGAAATCTACAAGGCTCCTTACTGTATATCATGCGTAAAACAAGAGGGGAAATCGACACATAAAGAAACTTTAACTCTACCCACAAGTGCCCCCGCACATTGACTCTGCACCGGTACCCCCCTGTATATAGCCTCCCTACTGTTATTTTATTTTACTGCTGCTCTTTAGTTATTTGCTTTTATTTTTTTACTCAACACTTTTTTTATTTAACTTTAAATAAAATTAAATAAAATATTTAAAAAATTGCTTTGTTTTTTCGAAAAGTGATGTCAGCATATTCCAGTTCTGGACTCTCATCAGCATCTGTGTGGAGATGTTGACATGAGTGTTTGGGGGAAAAAATGGTAGGCTACTGCACACACCATTTATTGACATTTAACATTTGAAGTATGTAAGCAGCCTACATAAGCTCTAATTATTATTATTATTATTATTATTATTATGTTGATTTTCAGAGTTAGAAATAGCATCCATTCACCTCCTTCACGTGCACTTGGCCAAACTGTAGATCTGGAAATAGGCCTATCGAAATGTATCTAGGCCTACACTAATGCAAAGTCAAAACCACAACATAAAAAACATCTAAAGTGAGCTACAACACTGAAGCAACAGTCACATGAGCTGACTGAGTGTTGTTACCATCGGTGTTGATAGCCATCTTTGACATTTTTAGACATATGTTAGATTGTTAGACTGTCACATTACTGACCTGGTGACTGTGGAGGTGTCCTTCTCTTGTGAATACAGTAAACTCCCACCACCACTGCAAGGACCAGGACCACAGCTACTAGTGAGCCTATGAAAGACCCATAGGATCCTCCTGCATGATATGGTGAGGAATACTGTATGTAAGCCTTCAAAGGTGCGTTTAACCCCTGTTGTGTCGAGTAAATGTTGCTAGTCATTGCTGATAAACAAAGGAGTCCGCTCATACTGAACCTTTGATCATAAGTTTTATTCATATCACAAGATTTCAGCATAAGTGACGGATGTCATGACCACCCGGAGAGCAGTGTCCTCGAATTGTAATGGCTGCTCTAACCTCTTCTTCGTTTTTCCCCAGTATATATAATCTCCCCAAGATATGGGTGGCTCCCTCTACTGTCCAATCCCCTGTCTACAACACACACTTCCTGTCTGTTGTATGTGGCGTTACACTAAAACATTCCCTCTTGACACTAAAATAAACATCCTCAAAGGTTCCACTTAAAACCATTAAGAAAGTCATAATCTTAATACACTACATATCCCCCCTTCGAGACTAACTAAAAGTCTCGAAAACAAACAGAATAGGATTATGACAAGTAACAATTTATCTTATTGAGTATCTTTAACATTAAACCAAAACCATTTCCCTCTAGAGTGTAAATACCTTTCTATGAAATATGAACAAATCTTTATGAAGTGTGAATACATTACTATGAAATATGAACAAATCTTTATGGAGTGTGAGAGCGAAAAACTGTCTGGCAGCCTTCGTTCCAAATATCCATCCATCAATCAAGACAGTAAAATTCTCTCACGGTCCCTCTGCCCCAGGCAACCACCTAGGTACTCCCGATGAATTCATAAATCTTTATCAATGCATTTGAAACTATGATGCAATTAAATACACATGAAAGCCCCAGCAAACAAAATACTATCCAAAAAATATCCACACCAAGGCTGGTCGACCCATCGGACCCTACCGTGGACCTCTATCCCTGCCTAGACTCCCTGTCCCTAAGCATTCACGAAATAAACAAAAACATCTAAGATCCCCACATGTATCCAATAACATCAAATATCATTCTACAAAAATTAATACCTAAGAATATGACACATTATGTATTACACATGCAAATATATCTATATTTCATTGCAGACACTGGAATGTAGTCCACTACACTTCATCTCCTCCGTAGTCTCCTCTTCCAATGCATTGTTGATGATGGAATCGGAACCTTTCCACCCCTTCCTTGTTCCATCTCCTCCAGTCATTGTCCTTTCATATTGTCCTTGTTTGCGTTTTTCAATCTCTACATATTCTCCCATATGCTTCTGGAAGAAAAGAAAAGACCAAACAGTATCTCTTGCAAAACAACACTTTCAAATTAAACATCAATATCAACTAAGAATATAAAAATTATATATAAATGATGTATGAATCAATATAAATGATAGAATAATGAAATAGGATAATGTGATTCATTCATACACTTCCCCCCTTTGATTCATAACATCATACTAAAATCACACTAATATTGAAAAATTTTTGAAAAATGATCAAATAATCAAAAAGGATATTTATCATCAATAATACTCCATCCAGTCCCCCTTGTCCATCTTCATCCAGATCAGGAACAGTCAACAACGGCATCTGAGCGTTGTCTCCAGGCATCAAAACTCCAACCCATCTTAATATCATAGCTTTCGCAAAGGTCAGTAACAAATTACAAACATCACACACAGTGCTATCAAAACTGCCATTAAATCTAATCCATCACTGCTCCCACTGGCCTAACTGATCTTGCAACCAAGTCTTTGCTGACCATCCAGCTCCTTCAGATCTACCAAACGCATCCCTTATATATTTCAATGCATTCATAACTATCTGGAATCAAAGTATAGGTAATATTATCAATATGATCTGCCAAAAATGTTACACCATACCATGGAAAAAGTCCCCCCTTCTCTCTTAGACTTATCCTCCAATAATAGGCTTCAAGACTATGAAATGTCGCCATGTCTCTTTTCACCCTATTTCCAAACCTAGATTCAGATTTATCTGTGTCCGGTGCTACCCCTCTTTTAATGGTAAAAACCTCATATGGAAGCTTCAACGTTGACATGTAACAACATCCTGTCCATCCATAGGGTAAGAATATATACGCTTTATCACCACAAACCCTCTTTCCCTTCATATTGTTGTACAAAATATACTTCCTTTGACTAGGTTCAACAGCTTCTACATCTGGTCCTGATAACAATACTTCTTCTCCATAATTATCTCTCCATGTGGGAGGAACGTCCCCATCCTAACCCTAATAACAGTCTTTTTCTCCCTAAAATTGGTGCTGGAGCTATTGGTTCCCTTATAATCAAATGCGATATATTTATGGCTTTAATAACTATCAATGTTGAAAGAGTTAAATTGCTTCTCACTGTTGTTTTAATATGCTGAAGTGTTAATGTCATTGTTGTTACTTCATCTATTTTCCCTAAGACTTTTAACTCCTTACTTGTATTTCCCTCTATCACCACTAGTGTCACTTTTTTTTTTACTCTCAGTCCTACCTCTAATCCCTCACTTTCAAACTTTTGATTATAAAAAATACACCTACAATTACCTTGATCTTCCTGCTGGGAATTGTAAATATAGATACTCGATCACCCTCAATCTTCTCTTATCATTCAGCAACGCATACTTTCTCAATGCATCTGCTCCTAACAGATCTAAACTCCTACCATATCTATCTTCCCACTAAACTCTAAAATGTCCTTCACCACTGTTCTCTCTCTCTTACTACTAACTTTGAAACTTAGCTTACTGTCTTAGAGTTCCTTCAACCCTAGTTCTCCTAACTTTTTTTAATCTAATCTTTTCTCCTAACTTTTAAACCTTTTCCACTGATTTATTCACAAAATCCCTTTACCACCAATTTTTAGAATATGTGATTGGGAATTCCCCACCTGCTTCTGACTTCTTTACACACAGACTTGGCAAACGACTAAACATCTTTTAGCCTAGTTTGAAATCCCTTGGTGTAGGAATGTAACCAAGAATAACAGTCACCCCTTTTAACTATTTTTCAGACAGATTGTCTAATAGGCAGTCTAATAGATTCCCAAAAACCCTATTCTTTTAAAATCTTCTACCAGACAGTCGTCTAGTGTACATCTTATTGTACAGTTCAATTTACACAATGCATCTCTTCCCAACAATGCAATAGGTACAGTGGGGAAAAAAAGTATTTAGTCAGCCACCAATTGAGCAAGTTCTCCCACTTAAAAATATGAGAGAGGCCTGTAATTTTCATCATAGGTACACGTCAACTATGACAGACAAATTGAGAAAAAAAATCCAGAATATCACATTGTAGGATTTTTTATGAATTTATTTGCAAATTATGGTGGAAAATAAGTATTTGGTCACCTACAAACAAGCAAGATTTCTGGCTCTCACAGACCTGTAACTTCTTCTTTAAGAGGCTCCTCTGTCCTCCACTTGTTACCTGTATTAATGGAAGCCATGTTTGAACTTGTTATCAGTATAAAAGACACCTCTCCACAACCTCAAACAGTCACACTCCAAACTCCACTATGGCCAAGACCAAAGAGCTGTCAAAGGACACCAGAAACAAAATTGTAGACCTGCACCAGGCTGGGAAGACTGAATCTGCAATAGGTAAGCAGCTTGGTTTGAAGAAATCAACTGTGGGAGCAATTATTAGGAAACGGAAGACATACAAGACCACTGATAATCTCCCTCGATCTGGGGCTCCACGCAAGATCTCACCCCGTGGGGTCAAAATGATCACAAGAACGGTGAGCAAAAATCCCAGAACCACACGGGGGGGCCTAGTGAATGACCTGCAGAGAGCTGGGACCAAAGTAACAAAGCCTACCATTAGTAACACACTACGCCGCCAGGGACTCAAATCCTGCAGTGCCAGACGTGTCCCCCTGCTTAAGCCAGTACATGTCCAGGCCCGTCTGAAGTTTGCTAGAGTGCATTTGGATGATCCAGAAGAGGATTGGGAGAATGTCATATGGTCAGATAAAACCAAAATATAACTTTTTGGTAAAAACTCAACTCGTCGTGTTTGGAGGACAAAGAATGCTGAGTTGCATCCAAAGAACACCATACCTACTGTGAAGCATGGGGGTGGAAACATCATGCTTTGGGGCTGTTTTTCTGCAAAGGGAACAGGACGGCTGATCTGTGTAAAGGAAAGAATGAATGGGGCCATGTATCGTGAGATTTTGAGTGAAAACCTCCTTCCATCAGCAAGGGCATTGAAGATGAAACATGGCTGGGTCTTTCAGCATGACAATGATCCCAAACACACCGCCCGGGCAACAAAGGAGTGGCTTCGTAAGAAGCATTTCAAGGTCCTGGAGTGGCCTAGCCAGTCTCCAGATCTCATCCCCATAGAAAATCTTTGGAGGGAGTTGAAAGTCCGTGTTGCCCAGCGACAGCCCCAAAACATCACTGCTCTAGAGGAGATCTGCATGGAGGAATGGGCCAAAATACCAGCAACAGTGTGTGAAAACCTTGTGAAGACTTACAGAAAACGTTTGATCTGTGTCATTGCCAACAAAGGGTATATAACAAAGTATTGAGAAACTTTAGTTATTGACCAAAGACTTATTTTCCACCATAATTTGCAAATAAATTCATTAAAAATCCTACAATGTGATTTTCTGGATTTTTTTTTCTCATTTTGTCTGTCATAGTTGACGTGTACCTATGATGAAAATTACAGGCCTCTCTTATCTTTTTAAGTGGGAGAACTTGCACAATTGGTGGCTGACTAAATACTTTTTTTCCCCACTGTATATGTTCTGATATTAGTATGTCTATTTTAATTTCTCTTTGATTTTTTATAGAAGAACTCAATTGGTTCCTTAAGAGTGATCAACTGTTTTACTACCTCAAATCCCTATCCTAATTAGTTAATTTTACATAGTGAGATGTTTAACCTCTTTAGGCTCAACACAGATAAAAGCTATTCCACTATTCACCATCACTTCTCATAGTCCTTTGTTCACTTCAATTGTTAGATACTTTTCTTCTTCTCCCTAATCGGTGCTATCAGCTGACACCCCCCTTCGTATCTTCTAGGCACTCTAGAATCCTTTAAGGGCTCACCTAGAGAACAGGTGATCTTCACTTGCTCCTTTATCTTCCTCAGAAATGTCCTCTGTTGTTTCTTCCTGGCGCATTTCACTCACAGGTAAAGTGACCAATCTATCCACAATTATAACACACATCTTAAAGTTGCTGGAAGTGTGGCTGAAATCTTCCTCCTCCTTCTAAGACTTCTCGTCCTCTTCCTCTCCAATTCTGTGTCTGTCCAGAAACTGGCTGTGGATATGAAACAACTGGTACCGCCCTTGGTGGCTGGTACAATTGCAGTTGGAACTGGTCCTGTTGAAGCTGTGGCAGTGATTGTTGATTTGGTGCACTCTGATTCTTCATAACCAAAGCTTCTCTTCTCCTTCTTCTTCTCCACCAGTTGTAAGTTGTATTTGATTGAGTTTTCTGAGAGTTTCTTGATCCTGTTCTTTCTTGTTGTTGACATATCAGGATTCTTCAACAGCTTATATTCTAAGTTCTGTCCCCGAAATATCATCTTCCATCATCTTCTTACTAGTGGCCTTTTTCCTTGGCCTCAATGTATTCTTCGGATTCTTTTCTCAGCAGTTTTTCTTCTCTTCTGTATCTTCATCTTTCCGAACCTCATTCTTCTCTTAGTTTCCAGACATCTCGGTTTTTTCTTACTTCTGGAGTTTTGGATTCATTTTTATTGTCGTTTCTGCTTGTCCTCTATTATTCAATCATCTTCATCTCTGATGCAATAATCACCCTCCTGGATGATCACTGGAAGCTGAGGATAAACATCCCTAAGCTCTACTTCCTTCTCATAAGGTGGGGGTCTTTTTGCTGAATCCGTATGTGAGAAAGGTGTACTAACTTCTGCCATTAGTTTTTCTGTCGCCTTTCCTTGTTTCACAATTTTCTCTATACCTTTGTTTATCTTATCGCTGGAATCTTTTATCAGTTTTTGTTTGAGAATGAAGGACAACTTAAGAACACCCAGCTCTCTGTCTCTTTTCTTTACGTAGTTCCCTTTTTTCGATCTGCTTTATGAATTGACAGAAGCACTTCCATTATGTTGATGACGTCAGGGTTAAGATTCCCTCTACTAGCTATGGTTTGTTCAATGTCAGGCCAACTTTGGTTTCATTTGCCGGATAACCTAGCAATACTTTAGTTAAAGGATTACTATTTTGTACTATATCAACAGGTGTAATTACCTTCATAGTCCTGATATCTTTTTCCCATTGTACCAACTCTTTTATATTCCTTTATTGTGAATTATTTTATTTCAGACTATATAGCCTATGGCTTCCCCCCTTTAATTATTAATATAAACTAAACAAATCAATCAATCAACAAAAATATGAATATAAAAAAATTATATTAAAAAAAATTATTCGAAAAAATATCTTTCATTAAAATTTAAAAAATCAATAAAAAACCACAACCCATCCGGAAAGTAAATGCAAGTAGTCAACTTCAGAGCAATCCCAAAAACCAAAGACTTCTAATCCTACAACACTACAATTCCCATAAACCCCCTTGTTTTATTAGCACCCAATTATCTTAATTTTACAGAATAATGTCAGTACTCGATTTCCAACAGAACTCTAATCAACCCAAATGATGCACAGAAACTCAAAAATGCAAATTTTTAATGAATCAGTATTTGCCAAGCCTCTGTGAAATTGTCATAACATCAAATATCCTGTAGGGGAAGATTCTGTAAACAGAACAGCACCAAAGAAACCTTTTGACTCGATCCTCTGTCGCGTCACGTGATGTATACGTCAGCACTTCCTGTATCTCTTCCTCTTACCGTCTCTCATATGACAGAATAACAAAAGACAAACAAAAATTTAGTATTTTATGCACACACCGAGTTTATGTCAAACATTCAATACTCCTCCGTTCACATTTGCGCTAAGAAATAAGCAAAAACTTACTTCAGGAATATTATAAGTAACTCAATAACATTTTATTTTATTTATTTTAATCCGTCAACATATATCTAATTTATCAATTCAATAGGTCTCAAAAAACAGTTTCATCTTCAAACAGACAACGTAACAACTAGAATACACCATTAGACTCTAAATGTTTAATTCTTTGTTCCTCCATCTGTGTCTGTGTCTGTTTCTCCCTGCAGCACAGTCTAACAGAAGTATGACCCATTTACCCAAAATCCCCCGTTTTGTAGTTTTAGTAAACAACGTGTTGTAGTCTAGTGCCGTAAAACAAACGTGTCGTAATCTAGTGCAGTAAAATCAAACGTGTTGTAGTTTAGTAAAATCACACGCATGCGCATTACATTTAACCATACGATTTCACCATGGAAGCAGCTCCAGACAACAGAACGTTAGCATTCCGCTATAGCTCCTCTCTTTTACCCCTTATAGACAAACAATAACACTTAACAGTTCACAAGACACCAGGCACCAAGCCCAAGCTAACTAAACACATTTCTGATGGCTCGTCCCATTCCTATGGACCACCAAGGAAGAAATATTAATCATAACCCGCATCAAAAATTGGCATCTAGCATGATTAGCATTAGCATTTAGCATTAGCATGTAGCATGAAGCATAATTAGCAGGCCACGTTAGCATTTCTCCCTCCGCCGTGCCGTAAAATACCATTTGTTAGCTAAATTTATGCTACCACGAGATCTGTGGAATCGACACGAGAGATTGCATCAAACAAGCCGTTCATCAACCGCCAGCTGAGGGGCAATATACATCATCAATATACCACGGTCTCCAGCCCATAGGGCTAACCTAAAACACATCTAACACGTTATCAGGATTTTCTGGCCCACCCTTAATAGGTCGCCTGTCTACCAGGGCTTTTCCGTTGATTCACAGCGGCTCTAAGTTACATACACATCTGCCTAGGCATTCCTTATTCCACTTAATCGATTGTTCTTGAACTGTTATTCAAGCAAATATCTCTATAGACCCTTTATAGGCTCTCTCCCCCCTTTTGTTCTGGTTACCAGTGCAAAGAAATTTAGAATGTTTAGTCCAGACTGAATATAACACTGAAGAGACGCAGACCGTCCCTTTTCGTGATGCCATTCTGTTGTGTCGAGTAAATGTTGCTAGTCATTGCTGATAAACAAAGGAGTCCGCTCATACTGAACCTTTGATCATAAGTTTTATTCATATCACAAGATTTCAGCATAAGTGACGGATGTCATGACCACCCGGAGAGCAGTGTCCTCGAATTGTAATGGCTGCTCTAACCTCTTCTTCGTTTTTCCCCAGTATATATAATCTCCCCAAGATATGGGTGGCTCCCTCTACTGTCCAATCCCCTGTCTACAACACACACTTCCTGTCTGTTGTATGTGGCGTTACACTAAAACATTCCCTCTTGACACTAAAATAAACATCCTCAAAGGTTCCACTTAAAACCATTAAGAAAGTCATAATCTTAATACACTACACCCCCAATTTAAAAAATAATAACATTCATAATTAATCCATGTTTGACACAGTCCCTCACAAGTCATGCATGACAACATTCAAGCTTTCAAGATAAATTGCCTTTGGCTTCTTTGGAATAATCTTATTTGGCAAATAGATAGATGTGATTTTTTTAGCTCCTCACCTCCAATGATCAGTTGTACTCCTCTGGTCTCCAAGTACATTCCATCTGAATTCAAGGTTTCTAAACAATATTTAGCAGAATCACTCCTCTCTGTGTTATTTATTTTAAATGTCCCATTATTGATAAAGAACTCTGATCTGGCTTTAATTAATTTATGGTTCGACTTTGTTGTTTATTATTTTGTATATCTCTGTATTAGCACCAGTGGGGTCTTTTTTTAATTTGAGTTTGGATCCTGTGCATCAGTCATCAGCTGGACATAGACCGTTCCTCCCAGAGCTCTGTAACACGACATGTTCTATCTAGCATCACAGGAGGTCTCCATGCCTGAGGATAGAAAAAAATTGCTGTTTTGTTGATAGTGATAATAAGTGTAAATCCTTTGCTAAAACATTTTTAATGCCATTTCACTTTGTGAAATTACGATTGCCCAAACTGATCTTTTGACAAGTAAATCATTTTCAATTAGCTTGTTTTTTAAAGTAATTAAGCCCTCAAACTACTGAACAACATGCAAACATTTAAAAGATTGTACTGAGTTACAGTTCATATAAGGAAATCAGTCAATTGAAATAAATTCATAAGGCCCTAATCTATGGATTTCACATGACTGGGCAGGGGCGCAGCCATGGGTGGGCCTGGAAGGGCATAGGGCCACTCACTTGGGAGCCAGGTCTACCCACTGGGAAGCCAGGCCCAGCCAATCAGCATACGCTATCCCCACAAAAGGGCTTTATTACAGACAGATATACTCCTGAGCACCCCCTCATCATTACACACCATTTATAACACTGGGTTGTTGTTATCTCCATAGACCAGTGGTGGAAAAAGTACTCAATTGTCATACTTGAGTAAAAGTAAAGATACCTTAATAGAAAATGACTCAAGTAAAAGTGAAATTCACCCAGTAAAATACTGCTTGAGTAAAAGTCTAAAAGTATTTGGATTTAATATACTTAAATATCAAAAGTAAATGGAATTGCTCAAATGTACTTAAGTATCAAAAGTACAAGTAAAAGTATAAATAATTTCAAATTCCTTATAATAAGTAGACCAGACTGCACAATTTTCTCTTTTTTTATTTTTATTGACGGATAGCAGGGGCACACTCCAATACTCAGACATAATTTACAAACAAAGCATTTGTGTTTTGTAAGGCACTGCCAGATCAGAGGCAGTAGGAATGACCAGGGATGTTCTCTTGATAAGTATGTGAATTGGACCATTTCCTGTCAAAATGTGACGAGTACTTTTGGGTGTCATGGAAAATGAATGGAGTAAAAAGTACATTATTTTATTTAGAAATATAGTGAAGTAAAAGTAAAAGTTGGCAAAAATATAAATAATAAAGTAAAATATAGATACCCCAAAAAACGACTTAAGTAAAAGTGAAATTCACCCAGTAAAATACTGCTTGAGTAAAAGTCTAAAAGTATTTGGATTTAATATACTTAAATATCAAAAGTAAATGGAATTGCTCAAATGTACTTAAGTATCAAAAGTACAAGTAAAAGTATAAATAATTTCAAATTCCTTATAATAAGTAGACCAGACTGCACAATTTTCTCTTTTTTTTATTTTTATTGACGGATAGCAGGGGCACACTCCAATACTCAGACATAATTTACAAACAAAGCATTTGTGTTTTGTAAGGCGCCGCCAGATCAGAGGCAGTAGGAATGACCAGGGATGTTCTCTTGATAAGTATGTGAATTGGACCATTTCCTGTCAAAATGTGACGAGTACTTTTGGGTGTCATGGAAAATGAATGGAGTAAAAAGTACATTATTTTCTTTAGAAATATAGTGAAGTAAAAGTAAAAGTTGGCAAAAATATAAATAATAAAGTAAAATATAGATACCCCAAAAAACGACTTAAGTAGTACTTTAAAGTATTTTTACACCACTGTACACCACTGCCATAGACAAACAGATATGTATATCAGTATAGAAAAAACTGTAGCCTCTTACCATTAGACGGTCCTACTGACATCACCAGATGTCCAAACATCTGGCCACCCCTCAGAGCCTGGTTCCTCTTGTCACGACTTCAGCCGAGGCTGCCTCCCCTCCTTGTTCGGGCAGGTTTCGGCGTTCGGCGTCACCGGCTTACTAGCTACTGCCGATCCATTTTTCATCACTCTATTTGTCTTGTCTTCAATCACACACACCTGGTCCTTATTCCATTTACATTTTAGTCATTTAGCAGACGCTCTTATCCAGAGCGACTTAGAGTTAGTGAGTGCATACATATTTTTTGTTTAATTTTTTTCATACTGGTCCCCCGCGGGAATCGAACCCACAACCCTGGCGTTGCAAACGCCATGCTCTACCAACATCCCTGCCGGCCATTCCCTCCCCTACCCTGGACGACGCTGGGCCAATTGTGCGCCGCCCCATGGGTCTCCTGGTCACGGCCAGCTACGACAGAGCCTGAATTCAAACCAGGATCTCTAGTGGCACAGCGATGCAGTGCCTTAGACCACTGCGCCACTCGGGAGACTCATTGTATAAGTGTTCCCTCTGCTTCCTTGTCTGTGTGGGTGATTGTTTATTGTGGAGGTTAGTGAAGCTCGGTGGAGCTTGTGTATTTTGTATCGACGGGAATATTTTCCCGTGTGCCTTGTATTTTCCAGTGCGCCTGTTTTGTGCCCTGGAGTGTGTTTGACGCATTTCTGCGTAAACCTGTATTTTGCGGATTAAAGCCTGTTATTCTGTGATTTACCCTCCTGCGCCTGACTCCTTCAACACCACCTCATCACACCTCTCTAGGTTTCTTCCTAGGTTCCTGCTTTTCTAGGGATTGTTTCCAACCACCGTGCTTCTACATCTGCATTGCTTGCTGTTTGGGGTTTTAGGCTGGGTTTCTGTATAGTACTTTGTGACATCTGCTGACGTAAAAAGAGCTTTATAAATACATTTGATTGATTGATTGTTAAACATGTTTCCTTTACAATGTCCATCTACTGATATGTCTTGGCAACTGTAGTCCCAAACTCGGATTACAAAGAAAAATCTACCTGCCACAATATAAGTCGGAATGTCACTAGGCTATTTGATTAAAACACGCAAATGATTGTGTTATTTCAGAGATGTGAAAGGAAGTGTTTGAACACACTCTTGATCTCACTTCTTCATTTCACAGACCAATGCATACAAATTGTCGTATAGGATAAGGCATTATATAAGATATAATATATACAGTATGTGACGCACACAGATATCTATGGTCATATGTATGTATTTTTGTTTTGTTTGTTATTTTATGGAGCCATATCATTTTCTAGGCCTCTCACGTATTTGCATTTAAAGTAATATATATGATTACTGCCACTAGGGGGAGCTGTGACCTCAATGGAGAGCGTTAGTGGGATCGTGAGGTCTTGGAAGGTTCTTCTTCAATCTTGGAGAATGCTTACTACTGAACATTACTAAAGTTTCGGCGTCTCATCATTTTACCCTGTTAATTCAGGTATTTAATGTGCAAAAGTACAATATGACTCTTAAAATATTGAGATAACATGGTTTACTATGTAGTCCATGAGTTTGATGAGGTTTGAAGGCAATTTAAGGACGTTTTAACCGAGTGAAATACTGGTTGGTATTTTCCCCATTGTAAGTAATGGAGTTTGGCTACGTTGCTAATGGTTTACATTAAGAGAGGGATTAAGATGGCTTCTGAACCTTTTGTACTTTTTTTTCAACAATATTTTACATCCTATTTGTTTTATTTTCTATGAACGAAGGCTCAGTTTAGTTCAGGTAATATATATAAATATGTGTTGGCATGATAAAATGTGTTAAAGTGTTAATATTTGTACGAAAATAGTGTTTTACAGTTCGCTAGCTTCATGCTAACCAAATGTAGCTTTGCTAAGCGCTAGATAGCTCTAGGCTAATGGGTTTCAGCTATTGTTAGCTTACGTGTTAATGGTTTAGAAGATAATGGTTGTAGAATTGTTGAGCACAGGCCTCCAGTAATTTATAGCTTTTTCAAAATAGACACTGATAGTACAGTGAGTTATATACATATAATGTGAATGTGTAGATATATTGTCGTAGTTTTTTGAAAGTGAGACCTATTTATATTTGATACAGTAATATGGAATGTGAAGATTTAATACTACAATAAAGTTGTAATGTATATTGATTTTGACAACAAAAAAGATGAACAAAAGAGAACAATATTTTAATAAATCAAGGAGAATGCCTACTGCTGAACACTACTAACGTTTCTCCGTCTCATCATTTTACCCTATTAATTCAGGTTTATTATCTGCTAACCACGTCTCAGTCCGAGGAGTGTAACACAAACAGTGCTTTCGGAAAGTACTCAGACCCCTTGACTTTTTACACATTTTGTTACGTTACAGCCTTATTCTAAAAAATGATTAAATTGTTTTTTTTACTCATCAATCTACAAACAATACGCCATAATGACAAAAAAATAAAATAATGAAATATCACATTTACATAAGTATTCAGACCCTTTTTCAAGACTTTGTTGAAGCACCTTTGGCAGCAATTACAACCTTGAGTCGTCTTGGGTATGACGCTACAAGCTTGGCACACCTCTATTTGGGAAGTTTCTCCCATTAATCTCTGCAGATCCTCTCAATCAATCAATCAATCAAACGTATGTATAAAGCCCTTTTTACATTAGCAGATGTCACAAAGTGCTAAACAGAAACCCAACCTAAAACCCCAAATATCAAGCAATGGAGATGTAGTAGCACGTTGGCTAGGAAAAACTCCCTAGAAAATCAGGAACCTGGGAAGAAACCTAGAAAGGAACCAGGCTCTGAGGGGTAGCCAGTCCTCTTCTGGCTGTGCCGGGTGGAGATTGTAACATTAATGCCAGATTGTTCTCCAAGATGTTCAAACTTTCATAGATGACCAACAGGGTCAAATAATAATCACAGTGGTTGTAAACGGTGCAACAGGTCAGAACATCAGGAGTAAATGTAATTTGGCTTTTCATACCCGGGCATTCAGGGGTCGAAACAGCTGGTGCGGTAGAGAGAGAGTTGAAAACAGCAGG